GTGGATGGGTTGTTTTGGCCGTAGAGAAAGGAAGGAGGATATGTGGTAGTAGTAAGGAACCACATAGGAGAGCGGGTTATGCAAGTGGCAAGACAATGTGGGGCTTTAGAGTCTGGACAGACAGAGTTGCTTGCAGTCTGGGAAGCAGCAAGGGTGGCATCCAGAGAAGGGTGGACGCATGCTCAGATCTTGACAGACAGCAAAAGGGTAATCGACATTTTGAATGGCAAAGAGCGGTTACCTATATGGTATCTAGGGTTAGATTTGGAAACTAGACGAAGGGTAGCATCAATGACTTTGTGTGTAGTACGGAAAGTAGATAGGGTTAGGGTGTCCACGGCACATGAATTAGCACGAGGTGTATGTACGATGTAATATCTTACAGAATATAAAAGTTTTTTTCCAAAAAAAAAATTTCACTGATTAAGAATGTGAAATTCACGATTTTTATACAGTGAGATCACGATCTCCACTATGTCCAAGATTCATTGATTCAACAAGTGAAATTCATGATTTATCTACAGTGAGATTATAATCTCCATTATATTCAAGATTCACTCATTAAACCTGTGAAATTCATGCATTAGATATAGTGAGATCATGATATATCTACACTATGTTCAACTAACATATTCTAGATAAGATTCAATTTCCTTTGTTTTTTTTTCGGTACGTAGATGGGATTCGGTTTCTAAACCTGTAAAACATCCGCTATTAGTATTACCAAGACGTCGTGATCCCTAACTAATACTAACTTTTCTTAGAATAGACCATGAAATGTCATACTATCTATAATACAAAAGCGAACGACATGAGATTAGCCGATTAAAAGTATAATTCAAATTTTTAAACTTGATTTAGTTACAGGGAAAGTCATGATCTTCATCACTCTCTAGTTAACACTAATTTTGCTCGACACTTATTAATAAACGAGTGCTGATATATGTAGGAAAACTTTACAAGAAATTTTGGCATTGGAGTGATGTGCATCTTAATTATCTCCTAACTCTTTAATAGATAAAATTAAACATTTAAAGGAAAATTATAAGTGTGGACGATTATGATTCAATATAATTCCATGTAAAATTTACCCGCACGAATCATTGTCATTAATAAGTATCGAAAGAATTTTGGACACAATTCTTGCTACTTGGTATTCAATAATTCTTAACGAACTTAGAACTTGGTAAGTAGCGTATTAATACCCAAATTTTAATGCGTGATATTATTATTGGACCAGCTAAAGGCTGCGCGAAAAAAAAGGGATAAACCAAGCCGATGGAATTTGGGCAACGTGTGTGACTGTAAAGACACATATTTACAAATTTCCCAATTTCATTGATCAAGCAAGACAAAAGAACCTTAATGCTAATTAATCAATCAATCAATCTTCTTATGTAAAAAAAATAAAGGCAAAAGTACAAGAAAGGAGCAGAAAAGTACGACTACGACCAAAGAAAAGTACACAATGCACAAATCACAGGAAAAAAAAAAGGAATTATCAATATAAGTTAATAAACTATAATTTGGGCTAATTACGTGCCATATTGGGGTACTGGGATATTATTATGACAATGGCAAAAGGATTTCAATATGAAGCATAATTCATTTTTAGGTGGGTCTTTTAAATTGGATTGCCATATAAGACATTAATTCTACGATTTCATGATACTAATAAGGGTTATTATATGTACTAGTAGAATTGTATGCGCTTCGTAGGTATTTGAATTAATAAATTATTCACAAACTGATTGAAGTATTAAATTTAAAAGAGACGCGGTGAAATTGAATTTTTTTTTGAGTGAACCTCAAAACAAGTCATCAACCTTTAATATATTTCCACTCTAGATTATCAATTAAATTTATTTGTAACACAGGTTACCTTACTAAAGTTTTAATCCATTTCAGATTATTCTGTTAATTTTGGCCGTTAAATAGTGACAAAAATCCATTTTTCACATGCTTTTGGGTTCAGGGGTATTTTTGTCATTTTTTTAATTTTTTAATCTTTTAATTTTTTATTTTTTTTTACAATTTTTCTTCTTATACTTCCTAACTTGTATACACTGGTAGAATAATTCTAAATTTTAAAAATTTATTTTCCTTTTGTATTTTAACTTCTAGATTATAAAAATTTTTTTAAAAAAATTTAAGAAATGAAGAAGAAAACATCGAGTTAAAGTAAACAAGAAAATTAATAATTTACCATTTAAAAAAAAAGAAAAACTAAAAGTATTAGCTAAGACAAGTTGTTTCTTCTAGGTTATTTAATTTTTTTCAACTCGATTGAATTATTTAATTATTAATTTTCACGTTTCTTATTCCTTTTTTTTAATAATCCAGAAGTTAAGATAAAAATGACAAACAAATTCATTTTTGAAAATTAATTTTTCATTTGTATATGAACTTGTAGATTATTAAAAAAAAGGAATAAGAAACGTGAAAATTAATAATTAAATAATTCAATGGAGTTGAAAAACATTAAATAACCTAGAAGAAAGAACTTGTCTTAGCTAATTATTTTAATTTTTGTTTTTTTAAATGGTAAATTAATTATTTTCATGTTTACTTAACTCGAATTTTTCTTCTTCAATTCTAATTTTTTTTAAAATTTTTTTTATAATCTAGAAGTTAAAATACAAAAGAAAAATAAATTTTTAAAATTTAGAATTATACTACCAGTATATACAAGTTAGAAAGTATAAGAAGAAGAATTGTAAAAAAAAAAATAATAATAAAAGATTAAAAAAATAAAAAAAATGACAAAAATACCCCTGAACTCAAAAACATGTGAAAAATAGATTTCCGTCACTATTTAACGGTCAAAATTAACAGAATAAACTGAAATGGATTAAAACTTTAGTAAGGTAACTTGTGTTACAAATAAATTTAATTGATGACCTAGAGTGAAAATATATTAAAGGTTGATGACTTGTTTTGAGGTTCACTCTTTTTTTTTTAAATGTAATTAATATAGAAATGATACAAATATAAAAAAAAAATAGAAATTTGTAACAAACAAATATATACAAAAGACTGATAATATTTTAATACCTAAGGAATTAATAAAAATTGATGTTGGTATACATCACACTACCTATTTCTCTCAACTTTCAAACTCTATAAATTATTTTAAAAAAGGAAAAAAAAATAACATTTTTCATTAAGCAAGACAAACAATGGAAAAACAGAAGGAAAAACACATACCTCATTTGCTTTTAACTATTGTTAGCAAATTTAAAGAAAGAGAATAAACTCAAATGAAAGTACGACAGTTAGTCCGAACATGAAAGGGGGAGAGACCAAATGGGAGAAAGAGAGAAGATGGAGAAATAAAAATAGAGCAATTGAGTAACGATAAATGAAGATGAAAGATTTCTCACTTTATCACATAACTAATGGTGATAGATATTTTATAAATTAATGAATTTCAAGTAAGTTACATTATAATGATACTATTGATGGCATCTTTAGAGAGGAAGATGAAATGTTTGAAATAGGAAGAAAGAAAAACAGTTAGACATAAGTTTCACCTTGATAATTGACTTCTAGCTAGGTAGAACATGAAAAAATAAATAAATAAAACAAAATAAAACCTTCAAAAACACGCATTTTAAATAGTATCGAAATTCAAACTAAAATTCTTTAGTGATTTATAATTTTATGTGCGATAACAAAAGATTAGATATTTGGTTTATGAAGGTTTACAGATATGACTTTTTACTTTCTTATGTTATTTAGTAGCAAAAGTTTTTAAATATTTACTCAAAAAATTTAAATGATTATTATTACTTATTTGAAGCATTGTTTATTCTTAAGTAAATATATCATATGCAAAAAAATAAAAAGAAATATAATAAGTGTACTATTTGGGTTGTTTGTGAAGTATTACCTTACTTAATGAACCACTTTCATGTGTCTTATCAAATGACAATCTAATAATACACTTTCAAATGTTTTATAACTTATTAAGACTTGATTATAGTAGACACTATTTAGTAGTGTCACACGTAATTTAAGTCACATGTGTCCTATGACAATACTTATTTAGTAGTGTAATTTTATTTTATTTTATTTTTTTGATACTTCTGCATTGAAAGTTGAAAGAGGTAGATTCTTCTTAACTGGAATGACTAATTTGACTTGCAAATAGTTTAGAATTAGTTAATTGGATGAAGTGATGGATATTTTACGCTTTACCTTGTGCCACGTTTGCCACAATGATATTATTGTCTCCTTAATTCGGTGTAGAGGATAACATGTGAGATCTTATGTACTTTTTTCTTCTTCCGGTTTTGTACAATTGATGTCGTAAATAGAAAACACGAGCACTTATATTGTACAATTGGTAAAATGGAGAGTTGAACATGTGTAAAAGAAATGTAAAAAACCACAAATTTGTAATAATTTTGTTTTAAAAAAAATCATTTTCTAAAAAATAGGAAGGGGGTTAACGCTGCTATTGGTCCCCTAACTCCTCAAGAGGAAGAAACAAGGACCATGGTCTATCTGTTCATGATTTTTTGAGTGTGCCCCGAGAAAACTAGGAACTACAATCTCTGATTATGAAGTTCATAATTCTGAAATCATACGCAGGCAAAAAACACAAGAATATGGAATCATACCCGTTAAAAAAAAGTGGGTTTGTTATTATCATGCATGCGAAAACCAAAAAATGGATCAAAATGTTAGGAGGTGGTTATGTCACGAGTCGGCCGGCCACCTCATAGGTTTGGTAAATAAAATGATGATATCAAAGATATTAATTAAAATTCTAAATAAGATCCATCAATTTGTTCATTTTATACTCTATTTGTTTCAAATAAACTTCTCACTTGATCGGCAAAGAGTATAATATGCACTTAAAATCGAGTTAATCAATGGAACTAATTAAAGAAAGAAAGTAAATAGAAACTAAATTATTCATTTAGGAACTAAACATATCTGATCAAACTAAATGACTTTCTAATATTCACAAATATATACATCTGATCATCTTATTAAGTCTCAATCTTGAAAATGTAAACATTTGATGCCAACAAGGGCAGTGATCGGCGACAAACGGGGCAAGAATTGGCTCTGTACAACCAAATCCAAATGCATGTTCGGTGAAAAACATGGCCGCAAACCGTACGCTCAATGTTATCCAGAAAATCAACCTCGAACCCATTCAGACAAATGGAGCAACTAAATTTATCACTCATTTCTTCTTCATCATCTTCATCGTCTTCATCTCCTTCTTTTCCTGGTTCTGGTTCCTCGGAATCATCGGTCCGAAGATGACGAAGAGCTAAAGAGGTGGGTGGAATCTCCCATAATCCTCTGGGTTCTTCCTTGGTAATTGGTTTGGTTAGTAAATTGTCGTCATGTTTCGGTTCCCCCAGATAATTCCTCAGACCAAGCCAAAACGCCGCCGCTTCATCACTGTAATGGTACCAACGGACTTCATCCGGTCCCCAATTCTCCAAATACTCATCGACTTTGTCGGAATCCGACGAGGATTCCCCTTCTTCATCGCCGTTGCGATTATCAGTTAAAGTTTCATCAAGAGGGGGAGATTGGGGTTCTGTCCCGATGTACTCAAACAATCGGAGAATCCGAATTTGAACCACCATCACAAATCTAGGCCCACCGCCGATTGAAGACCCGAACAACTTTCCCTTGTTTTCGAGTTGATGATAATCGTTGGCGAAGTGAGTGGATATTTGCCTCCCCAGTTCGGCGGCGGTTTCCGCCGTGAAAAGGGATGTTCCGGCGACCAATGTTGTCGCCAGCTCTATCAAGCTGTCCTGATGACGACGACGATCGTCATCGTCATCGTCATCCGCCGCCTCCACCGCAGACAAAAAACTATCCAGCTCAAAAGTTGTGACTCGGTCGCAGTTCCGATTGTAGGCCCGTTTAAATCCGATTTTGTCCAAATCGGGGTGGTCGGTTTTTGCAACGGCGGTGCTGATGACATCAAAGAGGCAGAAACCACGGGAATCTGTGAGCAAGTTTTTCTTGTCGACGAGCTTTTCGTTCCATCGGAAAAGACGAATTTTCGGACAGTATATTACATCTTTAGTCATGTTACCCATGAAAATGGTGGCAGATCTAGTAATTTATTAGAAGAGTAATAATATAGAAAGAGAGGAGGATGAAGCAATAAAATTGTAGTTTGACGGCTTTTATAGAAGGGGGAGATTCACATGGTTTCTGTTTTACTCATACGTTATTTTGGATTCTTGATGATGGGCGTGATCAGTTTCTGGAAACCACGTGAGGAAAAGGAAAAAGAAGAATAGAGAAAAGAAAAGGCTAGTTCATGCTATTTAAACAATTCATTAGTTGCATTCTTTGTAATACTAGTCTATTTTGTTATATTGCAAAAGTGATACTTCATTTTTGGGAATTAGCAATTTCTCTTGAAGTCTGAGAATATATGGCTCTGAATCGTTAAATGGGAAAAAAAAGGCCCTCCACTTTATTAAATTCAAAATACGAAAACTTACTTGACACGAGACTCTCAGTGGCGGAACCAGCTTTTGACAACCAGGAGGGGGGACGGGGGATTGGGGAGGGGAGAGGGTGGCTGGGTATGCACTAATCCGATATTGAAGAGAGAATTTTTTTCACTACTTCATTAAGAAATTAATATTCAATGTAAATTATACTAATAATATCTTAATTTTTTTTTTTTTGCATAATCTATATATCTATTCTATATATATATAACTAAGGCAAAGTCCAGAGAGAGAAATGCATTAGTTCTATAATCATGCCACATAGGATTTAATCCTATGTGTAATTTTTAAATATATTGGTTATAAATTGTAAAAAAAAAAATTACTAATAAGTTACTAATGATTATTAAACTTTTGATTAATAATATTAACAAACAGAATCTTTCTAAATCTATTTATTTCCTTAAATTTCTCATAACAACAAAAAAATCGCATGTGGCAAATCGCAATAAATTCGATATAAAAATATAAAGTCCTATAATTAGGCACAATTAAAAGGGTTGTCTATCTTTATGTTGATTTTTCACAATATTTTACCAGATACATGATTTTTCATGTCAAACTCATGTCAAGTTGTTAATTTTCTTTTATCTTAATCTTTTTTTTTGTTTAAATAAATAGAGAGAATAGAAAGATATTCAAGTTCCAACTGGCATAAAAAAAACTCAAGGGGTCTACCCAGGAGGTAAATTTTTATGCCAACCAGTGCTAGATGATATAATGCACCCAAAAGGGTATACCCAAGGGATGGACATACATACCATCTAGTTCTCTAGCTTCTCCCCTCCTCGATTTTATTTCATTTTGAGTAAAAAAGTTTCAAGGGCAGAGGATGGTCTAACCCCATACTTTTACAAAGGCTCTCAATAAAATAAAATGCAATACTATTCTCAACTACATAAATATGGATAAGACCTTTGGTCTAAAACCAAAAGGCCTTTTACATAGCGAGGCAATGAGCTAAAGGAATCATAAGTGGTACAGACTCCACTTGAAGCCGTCTTGGCCAGGCCATCCGCAACCGCATTCCCTTCCCTGTAAATATGAGTAATAGAATACCCATTGCGATCAATAATGGAACCTATCTCCATTAAATCCAAAAAGAACCTCCAAGAAAAACCAACTTTACTTATAATAGCATCTGAAAGTAACTTGCTATTTGTTTGGACCACCACATTAGAAAGATGTAAATGATCACATTTTCGCAACCGAAAGAGAATGCCACATACCTCAACATATAAACAATCACCTTCTCCCAAAAAACCACACTCACCATATAGAAAGTGGCCACCTTCTCCACGGATTACAAACCCATAACCCGCATCACCAATAGAGGAACCATCCGTATTCAAAATAAAAGAGTTTGGAACTGGTGTGATCCATCTCACCATTTTACAATTCCTTGAAATGAATCGAGGTAACTGGACACCAAATGTTTCCGCAACAAAATTCTTCTCAACCTCACTTCGTACTTTAAGATCATGCACCAATAGTAGATCTCGAATACTAGATGAAATTGAATGTATTACAAAATTGAAGGATGGCATAATACCTTCATAAATCAACTTGTTTCTTGCCTTCCAAACTTCCCAGAGAATAAAGGATGGGAGCAACATGATAGAAGACATCTTTGCGGAAGTATAACAGCCCTTGGACCACCATTTGCGCAACAAATGCTGCAACCTAGTATGACCATTGGTGTTGATACTCATGAGCAATGCAAAGTGAGCCCAAATGCCTTCAATAAACTCGCAATTATAGAAGCAGTGGATCATATCATCCCAATGCTTCCGGCAAAATAAACATATTGAAGGTCTTATAGCAATCCCAAAGTGCGCAACAGTTTCAGGGAAAGGCAACAAACCATTTCGCAACTTTCACAAGAAAAAAGAGATGCGAGAAGGAACCAGCTTATTCCATATGGTCCGCAATAGAGAATCAACATGATCCCGGTTTCTAAGGACCTCATAGGCCGATTTAACTGAAAATTGACCTTGTGGATTATGCTGCCAAACAAAGAGATCAGGATCATTAGAGAAAACAAAAAAGTAACTAAAACAAGATAAATAAGAAAAATGAATAACCAAGTAAAACAAGCACATGGCTATAATTTGAAATTGTAACTTTTATGGCTAAATTGAGAATCAACAAAAGTAGCTAAAGACATATCAAATGGGGAAAAGAAAAACAATGATAAGGAAAAACATATATACAATGTAATTATCCCACAAAAAATAGATTAGAGATGATAATAAGAAAAAGAATTTTATAATGTAATACAGAATCATTTAAATGACGAAAAACGAAATAATTGAAGGAAAAAAAGGTTAACAATTTCAATACTAGAAAATTTCTAAAAAAACAAGTGGACATGAGGCAACATAATCGCACTATTACATTTTAAATTAAAACTAAAAAAATGAGGCAAAGAAAAGTTTAAATCTACACGAAAAAAATGTTGCAAGCGTAAAATCACTAAAATATGATAAATTTTCAATGCAGATTTCTTTATTAAAAAATGGAATCAACTACAAATGATGAAGAAGAGATAAAAAAACAGAAGAAAATAAAGTAAGAAGATTAAATCGAGAAAAAATAATTTGAATGATATTCTTAAGGGAAAAAAATACTCTCCCCATTAAATATTTATAACTTAAACAAATCATAAAACTAAGGAAAACAAATCATGTCAACTTAAAAGTAGGGATTGAGTGTTAAAGAGGAATCACTAACCGGATCTAAAAGTATCTCTAATAGCTACTTGGCGTGCGGGAGTTAAGCATAATAGTTGGACAAGGTGACGGAAGATAAAAGGCTATTACGTCATATACCTATAGTACCAGCAAGCTGCTCACAAAATGGGTAGAGTTAAGCTAAGATGAATGATTAAATGGAGAATGCCAAAAACAAAGTAAAAAAGAAAAAGAAAAAAATATGATGATACATTGAAAAATGTACTTTTATTATAAAAGATATTGAGAGTCGATAATAATCGAAGGCTGATTAAATAAAGAGAAAAAAGTTTAATGATATCATTGAGGGAAAAAATAATTATCCCACTATAAAGTAATCTTGGGATATCATTAAAAATGACCAAAGAAAGATTAAGAAGAAAAATAGTTTAATAAAATTATTACGGTGAAAAAAAAAATGGTCCTACAATTACAGTTCAAATTAAAAACTGAAAAAGATATAGTTGAATCAAAACAAATGGTTTAAAAGAAAATGCAAAAAAATAATAAATTAGATTAATAGACTGAGTAAAAAAAAACTAAACATTATTAGTTGATAATGCAATTTCCTTTATTAATCACATTGACTGAGCGTTATGTAATTATAAGTTTGGATGGACAAATTTTTTTTTTTGAATGATACTTGATGAAAAAATAAACACTTTTACCATTACATTTTGAACAAAAAATCTATAAAAACAAGTAAAGTTAGAGCAAATTGAACGCTTAAAGAGAATAAAACTAAAATAAGCGAATAAATAAGTAAAACAACTAAATAATGATTTTTAACGTATAATGTCTTCAATCGTCAGAAATGAATGGGAGATTATTCTTCCTTTATGGATATGAAAGTATGAGAAAAATATTTATGTGGATAATAATAATAATAATAATAATAATAATAATAATATATTATTATTATTATTATTATTATTATTATTATTTTGGTAAAGGTAAGATTGTACTTATGAAGGCATTGAGCGGTACTGTATATTTGCTTAATTTTGCGGGTAGATAGAATTGAATTTAAAGATTTTAAATCTAATTTGTATAATAATATCTGATATATAGCAACTTAGCTACTTTGTTGAAACATACTACGTTGATAATACAAAATGAAACAACTAGAATTTACAAACATAATTTTCAACCTCTTAACTAATCCTTAAAGATATTCTCTGAAGAATTTATCTAATTAATGTTAAGAGACCTGTTAGTGGTAAAGTTCTTACCTTAGAAGGTGATTTCACACAAATTCTCCCACTAATACCAAAGGGAGGATGTAAGATATTATTGATGCATCTATTAAAAACTTTATTTGTAGTCATATTGTGTGGCATTGAAATTGATAATTAACATGCGTCTTTAAAAACAAGGTTATAATAAAATTTTTTTTAAGCAAAAAAGAAAGAAAAACCAGCAATACTATAAGAAGAAAGACACATCACACTTAGAGGGTATACCTTGAAGATGTTGGGAAATTTTTTAAATTTTTTAAAAAACACAGTGAACAAAAAGCCATAGAATTGAATGACAGAGAAGTTGAGATTAATATACTTGTAGTTATGATCATTCATACTTAGTCGAATCTTATTGTTGTCTTTTCAACCGTACATTTGTTGACTTCTTAAATAATCTTAAAAGTTTGATAGTCCACTATAAAGAGCAATTTTGAGCATGAACACATGTTTATATGAAAATCGCAAATGACTATATCTTTCTATTATGGACGAAGAGGAGTTTCTATACTTTCAATTAACATGTTCAATTTCGAGTGTAACGTAAATATTGAAAAAAGACATTAATTGCCGATTCTCTTAACATCATTAGATGTTCTGACTTGCCTTAACATGATTTTAAGTTCAAATGAGGTACTCC